AACGCTAGTGTCACGAGCGGGATTCGAACAAACGACTTTCGGCATTTTCATCTCAACCAATATCTTAGATAAAAAGAATAATTAATTAAATAATTAATACGGTCAATCATGACCTCTAAACATGTATGGATTAATATAATAATAAAAGAAATAATTACTTCGCTAACAGATCCCCTTGGCCACTTCGTAAGTCGCTGAGAATCAAATCCAGATTACACGACATACGAAAAATGACAAAACGAGGGAAAATTCGAAAGGTTGTAAGTTGAGATGAGAGTTGCTGTCGAAGTCATCAAGTGTCAAGAGGATCGAAGTCATCTCAACAAGAACTTAGATAAAAATAATAATTAATTGCAATATATAATTATCTTTTATTATATTGATAATGTACAAAGTTTGTATGCTTTGCGATCACTTGAATGATCTCTGAGACTAGTTTATTGTTATTATTACTTTCACTCGTTTTCGTGGTCCGCTTGACCAATTAATATATTACAATTAATTAAGGTTTTGAGTTGAACCTTCCATCTCAACCCCATCTTTTGAATTTTCCCTCCTTTTTGCCATTTTTCAAATGTCGTGTAATCTATTTGATTCTCGGCGACAAATGAAATGGCCACGGAGTGAAGGTATATTTCATTTTAACTTACTAAATTCACTCGTTTTCGTGGTCCGCTTGACCAATTAATATCTTTCAATTAATTAAGGATTTTAGTTGACATAAAAAAGTCAATGGCACCAGCGGGATTCGAACCCACGATCTTCGGCTAGATACGCCGCTGCTCTACAGCTTGTTATTATTACTTTCAGGATTGAAATGAGCTGAGACATTAGAACATAGGTTCTCAGCGTGGGGTACACGAGAGTCCATCAGGGGTTCGCACAAAAATATCGATGAAGGCAGCCACCGCCGAAAAAGAAAAAGATGAAAAGAATTTTTGATCATTGATTCAAATTCTGAAAAATTACAACACAAAACTTGTTATTTTGATTGACCTCAAAGCCTTGTGTATTTAAATGATTTTTCATCACATTAATAAAGTCAAAGTTTCATTTTTAAAAAATTAAAAAAGTGTAACATTTTCCAAATTGTTGACTAAATAAAATCAATGAAGATGAAATTCGATAGAGCAGCCTAGGAGAAAGAGATCCCAGTTAATGCCGATTATATCTGAACAAAAGAATCTATTACCTGAAGATCTTCTGTGGTATACAGATTGTAGAATGGGTAACTGTGAACATGGCCCTTGGTTCAATTACAACCATTTTTCAATCCCAATGCTAGCCATGGACATGAAATAAACAATAAAAATTTCAAGGGTGCAACAATACAGGCCCATGGAACAATTGCCATTTTTGTCGTAATAGTATGAACGTACTAATACGTTGGCTAGGTAACCCGTTTGTAATAAATCAGATAGACTGGGTGGGCAACTTTTTAAATGGAATAACTTTTCAGCGCAGTCGGAATTACGACGTAGCCTCAAACTTTGGGCATTTATCGTGTAACGGGACTGGACCAGCGTTTTGGAAACTTGAAAATTAAATTTAATTGGTTTTGTCCATTTTATAAATAAAGGAGATTAATTTTCCAATAAAAGTTTAATTACACATAGTGCTAATGGAGGAACATTGCTCCATTTTCTATCTGATGAACTGTTTCGAGAAAAAGACTGATTAATGTTTTTAGCCGTAAACTATTAAATTAATTAACGGCCTAATTTACTTCTTGGGTGACAATTGCAGCTGAAGCAGTTCGTTAACATCTTGATTGATCAACAATTTGGGTTTTTCTTATGTGAAACTTTCTTATATAGTTGGTTTCCTAGTTCAATCGAAATATATATTAAACCAACGAAAGACTTCAGCAACATTTTTAAGAGATTTTGCTTTCCTTTTGTTTTTCAAAAGAAAATATATTGGTAGTTAATTTATTTAAATAATAGTCATATGTAATTATTTAATTGTTGTTTATTATCTGAATATAATTTTTATAAAGCAATCAAAACGTAATATAATTCATTGGGGGGACAAGTTTGTTCAGACACCTAAACATAAAAGAACTTTTCTGGCAGACGGCATTAGCCGGGCCATTGCCCTTTGTATATCATCCAATTTGTATGTTCTCTTTTTTTTAATCAAAAAAGTATTCAAACAAACCATCAATCATAAAAGAACTTTATCGCAAAAGGTGGTGTTCAGGTGTGTTAAGCCCCATGCAGGGATAAAAGCTAATGAAGATACTGATTGGCTAAGCAAGCAAATGGGAACAACATAAAAATCAAATACAGTAAAATCGCAATAAGCTACATCGAGCTTATTGGAAAAAAGTATAAAAATTGGGGATCAAATGGGAACTCCAATGGGGCAATAAAGAATTTTCACCGACAGAATTACGTCTTAACAATAAATTGACTCATGTCCTGAATGGTCGAAGAAAGGTTCAATATTTCTGATGACCCAATTTGGTATGTGCTATTTTTCCGTCTAAGATTCTATATACGAGAAGCGGATTGATGGCATCTATACTTCTTCTAAGAATGTGGCTTCCGACTAAGACTGCTATTCTAAAAATCCACTCAATTGGCTTTCAAAAGTTCATTAATGAAATTAATTTTCATATTTACTTTAATTATTTGTTTTAAATTGTAATACCAGATTACATCAACAACTGAAATGTAAATGTAAACAAAAATACCTAATAGTATATAAAAAAATTCCATTTTTGTTTTCAAATATAATAATGGAAAAATGTATATTAACACATAAATATATAAACAGTATGTTAATAAAATGTTCGATGAAAACTTTAACAAACGTTTACCTGACTTAAGATGTTTTAGAAAATATCTAATTCTTCTGGTGGTCCACTTAATTGACTTTTAATAGTTTATTAACGAAAATAATTTTGACTAAGTGTGATATACTGTGATAAAGATTGATATACGAAACTTTTACAATGCTAAAATAGTATTTTTTTGTTTATAAATACAAATTTATATCCTTTTGCTATCTGTTATTCGTTTTAGTACATCACTGAAATGTAATTGAACCATGTAGGAAAACAATATGTAATAGTATTTAAAAAACAACAACTTGGGAATTCAAAGATATTGGAAAACTGCATTAAAGTTATCTAAATCTTGACTTTTTGTGAAAACATATCAAACGTTTAGCTGGTTTGAAAGTTAGTATAAAATATAAAGAAGCTTTTTTCTTTTTCTTTATTTTATCTGAAATATGCGGACAATAAATCGACCCACGTCCTGAGTGGTCGTAGTGAAGTTATACAGGTTTAATCCACTGGATGACCGAACTTGGACCTTGTGTAATATACAAAAGGAACGAAACATGTGTTTTTTCCTGTCCAAGTTTCGATGGTCTATGGTGTGTATTGATGGCATACTTCCGAATGGTTGAATATGGCCTCGGAGTAAGACTGATCTCCTGATATTAGCTTTCAAAAGGGTTTTTAGATGGTTTGGGAATTTTTATAAAATACATAATTACTTTGTACTTCAGTAACTTTAAAAAAAATAAATCGTTTCATACGAAGTATTCTTTAATTTCTCGGAATATGCTAAATTTACAGCATTTTTTGATACGGGTCGTAAACTAATATTTTGGCAGTTGATTGTGTGTAATTATTTAATTGTTTATTATGTCACTTGATTTTATAAAATATAAATGGAAAATTTCCTATTGTGGAAACACTCATTTTTATCTTACAATTAATTAAGGTTTTTAGTTGAGATAAAAAAGTGAATGGCACGAGCGGGATTCGAACTCACGATCTTCGGCTAGACACGCCGCTTCTCTACCACTTGAGCATTTGTCGCCGAGAATCAAATAGATTACACGACATTTGAAAAATGGCAAAAAGGAGGGAAAATTCAAAAGGTGGGGTTGAGATGGGAAGTTAGTGTCCGAGTGGATCGAGGTCACGATAGCTCAAGTGGTAGAGCAGTTCGAATCCTGCTCGTGCCATTCACTTTTTTATCTCAACTAAAAACCTTAATTAATAGTAAGATATTAATTGGTCAAGAGGACCACGAAATTAGTGAATTTATTTTTATATTGAAGTACATAAAATCAAGCCAATTTTCAGTTCAAGGTAAGCATGGGAAAAATGTTATTTGGTTTTTTTTCGAGGGTATTTCAACTACGAGGTCATATGAACCCTCGGCGTGCCGATGTTATTGCAAACAGCCCATTTGTAAGTATGTCGTGTTCGACTGCAACGCAGCAGGATTCGAACCCGCGACCTTACGGTGATGAGCGCGGTGTCAACGCCTAAACAGTTGCGGCCACCGACGCCCCTTTTGTCCAATTTTTAAAACTTTTATTCGAAAAAATACGTTTTATTAGTAAAATTTTAAAAATAGTAGAAAAATAAGAAGATTTATGGAATAAGAAAAATAGTTATATGCATTATTTCTTGTTTCAAAAAGATGGTTTTAAATTGAGTTTTTCACTATATTATGAATTTTTATCCATTTGGAAAAAAATAGTACACAATATAATTTTGTTCTTATAATCAATTATTTTACTGTATTTGTTTTATATGATAAATATTGACTTTTATAAAAACATTTTTTATTGGAAATTATTTTTTATTAGTAAATGTTTAGTGTCAATATAAAAATCGACTAATACTTAGACTTCTAAACAGTTACCCTTAATTTCAATTTTGTTAACGTTTATTTTGACACGAGTAATTTTTTGATTGTCTTGCTTAAAATAGCTTTTAACTATGTTATGAATTTTTATTGGGTTGGAAATGTAATTCTATAATATAATATACCTTTGTTCTTATGGATTAATTCTGGATTTGTTACATTATTAAGGGTGACGTTGATTGCCATCTTCCTGTCAATTATAAAAGTTTATTTATTAATTTTTTTTCAACAATGGACGAAGCGGTAAATGACAGGTAATGGTCTAAAACTGATATCTAATCACACAAAATGTGACATGGCGCTGAATAATTTGTGACTCACTTTTTGAACCAGGATGATCTCTGTTTCGATGTTTCCTCTTCGGAAGTGGTTTAAAGACTGATCCGTCTGGATCCGTGCGGCTCTGCCCCACCCTCCTTCCATTTCGATCATCGCGAATCTAGCAACAGGTGAAGATCCCCCTGTATTATTTGACATTAAACGACACCCTTCTTTTATTTAAGGCCCAATTATTATTAGAACTTTAACATTTCCTGTAAACTGACGTATTTATCGAGGAGTTGGGCTCAACAACGTTATTTTCTAGCGCGGACGCAAAACATTTTCTGCCCGGACTTTAGTTTATTTTGGTTTAATTTTTTGACTTGACAGATAAATATATTCGGGCAAAAATCAAGCCAAAGTTTATTGGTTTACATCATACCATCTTCTTTTTTCACTGAACCATGACTAGGAACATCTTGTATATTAGAAAAAGTTCGGTCTAATTTTTTTTCTTCTAAAGCAGGCCGTATTGTAATAATAAAAAAAATACAAAAACTAATGTACATTAAAAGTTTTTTTTATTTCAAAACTATTAGGTTTACAGTCTGAACATTTAATTAATTAAAAAAACCAGATCATTCAGAATGCTGATAAGTTTTTTAAATTTTATTAGGTTTCGTGGTCCGCTTGACCAAATGAATTTTTTTCAATTAATTAACGTTTTAAGTTGAGATAAAAAATTCAGCGGCACAAGCGGGATTCGAACCCACGACCTTCGGATAAATACGCCGCTGCTCTACGACTTGAGCTATCGTAACTTCGATCCACTCGGACATTAACTTCCCATCTCAACCCCACCTTTTGAATTTTCCCTCCTTTTTGTCATTTTTCAAATGTCGTGAAATCTATTTGATTCTCGGCGACAAATGAAATGGCCACGGAGAGCTTTAGTGAAGTTCATTTTGCTCATTATATTTTATTAGGTTTCGTGGTCCGCTTGACCAAATAAATTCTTTTCAATTAATTAAGGTTTTGGTTGAGATAAAACAGTCAAAAAGGTGGGGTTGAGGTGGGAAGTGGGAGAGCAGCGGCGTATTTAGCCGAAGGTCGTGGGTTCGAATCCCGCTTGTGACGCTGACTTTTTATCTCAACCAAAACCTTAATTGATTAAAAAGTTTTTTTAAAGTAGAGAAATTTATAAAATTAATATAGAAAATAATACCGTTCGCATCGTTCAGAGATAACGCACAGATCTAGGGGTACCCTCACGAAACTCATGAAGCAGAAAGGGCCATTAACCACCCCCTGGATCGAACGCCTTCCCCGATCTTGGGAATCACCATTCATATCCACCGCCACCGCCACAGCAGTTTTCGCTCAAGCCACACCTTGTGCTCATACAAAAACTTCAAATCAGCATTCTGAATGATCTGGTGTTTTTGATTAATTGAATGTATGAAATACAAAAAAAACTTACAGTTGGCACCTCCTCCTACTTTGACTACTCTCCTCATCTCCTTCTTGAGTAATACCAGCAATACTATAAATCCCATCTCTTCTAAGCTCAGTAATACCCAGTCTCCTCGTGTATCCGAATGAGCTTCCTTTTGCATAATTCTCTGTCCACATTCATCTGGATTGCTAATGGGTTGGGCTCTCACAAATTTGAACTTGACGCACTGGTTCACCTCAGAAGAATCGATACTTATTACTGAAACGCACTATACCAGTAGATCAAATTTTACATTGCAATACGACTTAATGGACAGACCCAGTTGACGCGGCTTACGATGGCACTGCCATTGTAATTATGAAAACCTTATTCCAGCAGCTTATTCCTTTTGAACCCACCGGTATCCTTCAAACAACAGTCATCTCCCTTTAAACTATAATGCTCAATTTCCAAATTGGAGAAGTATATTTATGACTTCCTATATTTTTTCCTCCCTCGGAATTCAATTTTTGCGAAATACCCCCATGGGGTTGTCGGGTGCCAAATCATCGTGGTTGAGGGTGCCATGTCCGAACATAGCTTCCACCCTCTCTCCATACGAACTTACTTTTTGGCCCACTCATGTACGAGAATGATATCTCCAGCCTCCTCTAGCCTGTCCTCGCTACATCGAGAAATTATAAACCTTTATGACCCCGCTAGTGACCACTCCCCTGTGCTTCTGGTACTTCAGAAAAATGAAGTAACTATTTAATTAATTAAGTTGAACGAAATAATTTATTGCCTTTTATGTTGAGGATGCTTTTGATGGAGCGGACTGGGGTTCAATAATAAAACATCTACTTGACAAAGGATGTTCAAAAAATGTATACTACCTGGCGATAAAGTATTATATAAATTATACATTTTATAGAAAGGACTTGCAAGCTCAAAAAAGCTTCTTTAACACTAACTAAAAACCAAATAAAACGATGGATGCCCACAGGGCTCAGCTTGCGGACCTAGATTTGGGATAATAATGTATCACCATATATGCTGAAGCTCAGATTTCCTAAAAAGGTCGAAATAATTGCATTTGTAGATCATCTTCTACTGGTAGACCCAGGGGAAACCACCTTCGATATTGAGCTCGCGAATAAACGTCTCTATCTTCTTAAAAATCCGTTACTGAAATTAAACTTATATACAATCTTAGCAAAACCAAAACGCTTCTTATTACTAACAAAAGAAAACCAGCGAATCCTCTTGGTATCTGATGTGCGAAAAAGTTGAATCAGTTCAAGAAATGAAATATCTGGGGGTAATATTCAATAAATGGCTTAAGTGGAATAGACATATACTTCTCTGAAAAATCTAACCAACTGGTAAACGTACTGGCGAAATCGATGAAAGCCTATTGGGCACTTAGAAGCGAAACTCTCAAGTTAATATATACCGGGGCTATTCTTCCGATCATCAAGTCTGCTGCTCCAGTCTGGGAAAAAGGGCTGAAAACAAATAGGAATTTGTATATAATTTATGATCCACCCAAAGAATAATAGTGCTAAAAATTGTCAAAAGCTATAAAACACACTCATTTGAGGCCGCTTGTATTATCCCGGGAGAGTTGCCTATAGAACACAAATTGAAACATCAGACGGAGTATTATAAGTCTATAGGATTGTGCTTTTCCAGAATAAAATTGACAAAGTCGCAAAACAAGGACAAAAGTTCTTTTATTAAAAATAAACAATAGAATCAATAAAATATATGATTAATGGTAATTGTTGACAATAAAATTTATAAAAGAAAACAACTGTCTTATAACTATAATTGAGTTTGATTAACTAAGAGCGAAATTTTTGAAATATCCTTTTCTTCAAGAAAAAACAAACATACGTTGAGTAAATAGAATAGTTATACACAAATCTGGCAGATCTGTCAGACCAGGAGGCAGTGGAGAGAGAAACCAACCAGCCCTCGAACTCTCTTTTATTTAATTGAGTAGGTTACAAAAAAAGGTCACGAGGAACGGGTTAGGGTGTACGGACAGTTACAAATTGAGGAAGCGTTTTCGGATATTATCCTTCTCCATTAGGATTTTAAGATCTTTATGGATGATTTGATTAGTGACGTAGAAGGGAGCGTTGAGAATATGGTGGCAAATTTTTCATTGAAGGATTGAATTTTTTGGATATTGTATGATTTGGCTGAGCCCCACAGTTAGTCTCTGTAAGTCCAACTGGTATCAATTGAATCCAAAAAGAACCGACGATCAAAACAACCGACAGAAAACAACAAGACTTAATCTACGAAAGGAACCAACCAATCCTGCGAGGATGGGTTGATCAATATGATCGGTTATTAAACTTCTTAGAACTACTGGACAATTCGGTTCATTTGAATACATTCAATATCTATCTCGCAAAATGAACAAGAAAATAGTCAACAGTAGTTTTGCCAAAATCAACTGGTTTACTTCACAATCAATCCAATATTTATCCAACCCATACATCCCATGGCATTAATAAATTTAGGAGTTTCTTAAAGGTTAACGAGTTGGGTGTTCAAATATTCAAAAAGATAAAATAACTTTGCAAACAAGTTTCTTTAAATGGAAAAATTCTCCTGCCTGAAATAAGGGAGCTTAATTTATTTATTAACATTTTTCCCTCAGGCCTCTAGCTAAAAAAACAGTTCAGTGTGAACTTACTGGTTCAAATAGAGATTCATATTTCTCTGTGCTATGTAAAGAATTTGAACTCTGTCTGTCTGTCTGTCTCTCTCTCACTCTCTCTCTCCGTCTGTCTGTCTGTCTGTCGGTCAGTCTGTCTGTCTCTCTCTCTCTCTCTCTCTCTCTCTCTCTCTCTCTCTCTCTCTCTGAACAAGATCTTATAATTTATGAGCATTAAACAGCTGAAAGACGAAAAGGTAAATTTTACAATTACACCATGTAATTAATAAGTGTGTGATTACTAACCAACTGGTAACTATTTTTACATCTAAGCTCATTTAATACGATTCTGAATTTTATTTTCAATATTTAAATTCACCAATTTTTTTCTCGCCACTCACGGCCCATCGGTAATGGGTAACTCACGTGTCTAATATTTATCGATCTCTCCTATTAAAATTTATTGCTAACTTACCATTTAATATTTTTAACAGCAGGATCAGTACCTTGGAGGACGTGGGTTCATGTCACGCTCGTCGCACTAATTTTTTTCTCAACCATACTTTGCATAATAATTAATCTAATTATTTTGGTTAATAGAACCAACTAAAAGCATATAATAGATATATAATAATATTTAAAAAATTAATCACTTTTATGGAAATGAAGTTAACTTGATGCAATGCATAAGCTAAAACTACTGTCATTGTTAGTTTTTTATTGTACGTAGAAAATTGAAACAATAAAATATATGTAAATAATAAGAATAAGACTAACAGTAAATGTACATGTATTATGTATTATTATATGTATACTATGAATGATTATACTGACAACATTATTTCATCATTCAAAGAAAAAGTATTATTTTTCTGTTTAGAAATGTCAAAAATTATTTTATACTAGAGTGTAATGAAAATTTACAATCGCGAACCTAGTTTATAAAGCTTAAAAAATAACTTCGTAGATAAGATTATGTTTTTGCTTATTTTATTTTAGATTTCGATAAAAAGAGGG